GCTCTGTGTCTTTCCTTTACAGCTCCTAGCTGTTCCGTCTCTCACAGACTTTCTCTCAGGCTTGGGCCTCTAGCTTGGGGCACCTATGACCCCGAGTGAGATCCTATCCCTTGGCTTCTTTCTGTCAGACTCAAGCCTCTGGCTAGGGGCACCTATGACCCCCAGGTGAGACCCTGGCTTCTTTCTCCCTTGCAATCACTCACCCCTAACCCTTCTTTCTTAAAAGAGCAGCACATACCTGTGCCATTAGTGGGCCTGGTATCTCCAAAACCTAGCACAGACTGCCTTATCACACAGTGGCAGGCCTTGCCATGCCACTATATATATAATTTTTTGCCATCTACTCTAACATCCAGCCTTTTTTCATCTCGGGCGCATGGATGTCTGCTCCATATGGGAGTGCTGGGGCCTTTCAGGATGTGCTGGAGCTTTGCCCACACCCAAGGCAGCCAGGCCAGCGTTTTTTTTTTCCTTTCCTTTCTCAAACGACGATTGCGCTTGATATGTTCTCCACCCTAGAGTTGGAGCGAATGGCAACCAGCTATCTGTCCGCACATGGTGGGGCCTCCTTTGCTTGGTGATAGGCAGGCAGGGGAGACTCAGACAGGCAAGCCCTAATCAGGATGCCTCAATTTGTGCCCAGCTGTTTGATATTTAGAAGGATGACCTAACCACCATGATTGGATATGGTTGATCAGCTGATTTTAGGTCTGACCCTTTGTTAAGCTGTTTGAGGATGATACAACCAGTGCTGTTTGTTGTGGGTCTGGTCGGTATCCAAGGGTGTATCTGCCGCGAGGCAAACAAGGCGTTTGCCTAGGGCAGCACCGCACCCAGGCAGAAGGGACAAGGAACCAGGGACCAGGCTCGGGTGGGAGGCAGGGGGCGGGCTCAGCAATTCTTGAACAGAGGAAGGTGGACTCGGCTTATGAACCCCCTCTGCTCACCCAGCCTCTCTGCAGCCAGCTGGCCGTCTATTCCGTTCAGTGCATACAACCATCAGGGCGAAGCTGACCGTGAAGAGGGGGAGCAAGAGAGGAGATTCCATCGCTGCATGTCGGGTATCATGGCCACGGACCCCAGATAAGTGTAATAGATGATCGATCGATTTTCCTTTTCTTTTCTCTCTCCCCTCTCTCCCCCCTCTCTCTCTCTCTTCTCCCTCCTCTCTTCCCCCTCTCCCTCGCTCTCACTACCCCTCTCTCCCTCTTCTCTCGACTCTCTCTCCCTCCCTCCCTCAAGAGGAGACTCCTCTCACCCCCCCCCTCCTCCACCGCTCTCCTCTCAAAAGCCTCCCTCCCTTCCACCTCCCTCTCGCGAAGGCCAAAACACCCTCCCTCCCCCTCTCTATCCCCTCCCTCCCTCGCATCACCCCCTCCCTCCCTCACCCATCTCCTCTCTCCGAGGACCTACTCTCTCTCCCCCCCTCAATCTATCCCCCTCCGCGCCACACTCTCCCTCCCTCCCTCTCTTCCCTCATCTCCCCCCCGCTCTCTGTTCCCCTCCCCCTCTTTCTCCCTCTCCCTCTCCCCCACAATGAGAGCGCCCCCCTCCTCTCTCAGTCCTCCCATCCCTCTCCTCCCCTCGCTCTCTTTCCCCCTCTCTCCCCCCTCTCTCTCTCTCACCTATCTCCCCTTCTCTCCACTCTCCCTCCCCTCCCTACCACTCGCTACTTCTCCCCCTCACCCCAAAACTCTCCCACATCTCCTCTCTTAACCCACTCTCCCCTCCCTCCCTCCTCTCAGAGTAGCTCCCACGAGATAGAGGTCACTCCGAGGAGGTCCCCCTCTCTCTCTTCTCTCCCCCCCTCTATCCACTCTCTCTCTCCCACCCCCCATCTTCAACCCTTCACCCCCACTCCCCTCTCTCCTCTCCCCCCTTCCCCCCCTCTTCTTCCCCCTCTCTCCCCCACCCCTCCCTCTCCCCTCTTCTCCTTTTCTAATCAGAGGGAGAATCTCCCCCCCTCTCCTCTCTCCCGCCAAACATACCCAGCTCACAGCTCTCTCTCCACTCCTCTCTCCCCCCCCTCTTCTCTCGATCTTCCCAAGAGAGACCTCCCTCCCTATTTTCACTCTCCAGATCAACCACCTCCAACTCTTCCGCAGCAGTCCTCTACCCTTCTTCCTTCCCACTCTTCTCCCTACTCTTCTCCAACTAGAGCCTCTCTCGTCGGCTCCACTCCCCCCCGCTCTCTCACAAGAGAAAAGAGCGAGAGAGACAGAGTCCTTCTCTCCACTTCCTCTCCCCCCCTCCCCCTCTCTCCAAGAACTCCCTCCCCCAACTCAAGAGTCCTTCCCCTCTCTCCTTCACTCTCCTTCACCCCCCCCTCTTCACTTTTCTCTCTAAAAGTCCTTTCTTCCTCGTCCCCTCTCTCACCTCTCTTCCCCCGCTCTCCTCCTCTCCTCTCTTATTCCCCTCTCTCCTTCCCTCTTCGTCCTCCCCTCTCAAAGGAGAGAGAAACAAAGCCTCCCCCCCCAGTCTCTCCCCTCCCCACCTTCTCCTCCTCGCTCCCCCCTCCCCCAGCTACCTCCCTCTCTTCTCTCTTCCTCCCCCCTCCCTCTCTCCTCCTCCCTCGCCCCCCCCTCTCTCTCCTCTCCTCGTCCCTCCCTCTGTCTTCCCCTCCTCTCTCCTCCCTTCCCCCCTCCCATTCTCTCCCCCCGCGGAGGAAGCTCTTTCTATTCCCTCCTCCCCCTCTCTCCCCTCTGTCTCCCCTCTCTCCTTCCCCTCTCCGCGCTCTTTCCCACTTTCTTTCCCTCTCTTCTCCTCTTCTCTCCTCTTCGTCCTCTCCCCCTCCTCTCCTCCTCCTCTCTCCTCCCCTCCCTCTCTTTTCCCCCATCCCCTCCCTCTTCCCCCCTTTCCCTCTCCCCTCTCACCCTTTCCTTCCTCCCTCTCTCCCCCCTCTCTCTCTCTCTCCTCCCCCTCTCCCTCCCCCCTCCCCCCTCCCTCTCCCTCTCTCTCCCCCCTCACTCTTCTCCTCCCCCTCTCTCTTCCCCCTCTCCTCATCTTCTCTCTCCCTCCCTTTCTTCCAACACTTCCCCCCATCTCCTCTTCCCTTCCCCCTCTCTCTCTCTCCTTCCCATCTCTCTCTCTTCCCTTCCTTCTTCCCCTCTCTTCCCCCCCCCCCTTTCCTCCCCTCTCTCTTCTCCTCCTCCTTTTTCCCTCCTTTCGTATCTCTTCTCTTCTCTTCCCTCTCCTCTCCCCCTCCCCCTCTCTCTCTCTCCCTCCCCTCTCTCTCTCCCCTCCTCTCTTCTCCCTTCTCCTCCCACTCTTTCCCCCTTCTCTCCATTGCTATCCTCCCCCCCTCTCTCTCTCTCTCCACTCTCTCTTCTTCCTCTCCCCCCCCTCCCCCTCCCCCCCTCTCTTTTTCCCTCTCTCCTCCCTCTTCCCCTCTTTCTCACTCTCTCTCCCCCCCCTCTCTCGCCTCTTTCTCTTCCCTTCTCTCTTCCCCCCTCTCATCTCTCTTCTTCCCTTCCCTCTCTTCCTCCCCTCTCCTCCCCTCCCCTTTATCTATTCCCCCTCCCCCCCCTCTCTCTCCTCCTCTCCCTCTCTCTCTCTTTCTCCCCCTCTTTCTCCCCCCCTCTCTTTCTTCCCCCTCCTTCCCTCTCTTCCTTCCTTCCTTTCCTTTCTCTCCCCTCCTCCTCCTTCCTCTCCCTCTCTCTCCCCATATCTCTCATCTCTCCCCCCCCTCTCTCTCTTCTTCTCTCTTCCCCCCTATCCTCCGTCTCTCTCCCCCCTCTCTTCCTATCTCTCTCTATACCCCCCCCCCTCTCTCTCCTTCCCCCCCCTCTCTCTCTCTCTTCTCTATCTCCATCCTACCTTTCCCTCTCCCCCCTCTCTCATTTCCCTCTCTCTCCTCTCCCCCCCCACTCTCTTCTCTCTCTCTTCCCCCCACTCTCTCTTCTCCTCCCCCTCCCTCTTACTCTCTTCCCCTCCCTCTCTCTTCCCTTCCCTCTCTCTCTCTTCTTCTCTCCCCCCTCACTTATCTCTCTTCCCCCCCTCCTCTCTCTCCCCCCCTCTCTTCTCTCTTTTCTTCCACTTCTCTTTTCTCTCTCTCTCTTTCCCCCTCTCTTTTTTTCTCTCCTCCCCCTCTCTTCTATCTCTCTTTCCCCCCTTCTCTCTCTTTCCCTTCCCCCCTCTCTCTTTCCTTTCTCTCTCTTCCCCCTCTTCCCCTCCCCCCCTCTTCTTCCCCCTCTATTTTCTCTCGCTCTCTCCCCCCCCTCTTTTCTCTTCTCTCCTCTCCCATTCTCTCTCTCTCTCTTCCCCTTCTCTCTCTCTCTCCCATCTCTCTCTTTTCTCTCCCCATCCTCTCTCTCTTTTCTCTCCCCCCCTCCTCTTTTTCCTCCCCCCTCTCTCTCTTCTCTCCCCGCCTCTCTTCTCTCTTCACTTCCCCCTCTCCCTCTCTCTCTTCTTGTCACTCTTTTCCCCCTCTCTCTTCTCTCTCTTCCCCCCCCTCCCTCTCCCCCTCGCTTCTCTCTCTCTCTCTCTTTTCCCCCTCGCTTCTCTCTCTCTATTCCCCTTCGCTTCTCTTTCTCTCTCCTCCCCCTCTCTCTTCCTCTCTCTCTCTCTCTTCCCCCTCTTCTCTCTGTCCTTATTCCCCCTCTCTCTCTCTTCCTCCCTCCCTCTTCTCTCTCTCTCCCCCCCTCCCTCTCTCTCTCTTCCCCCCTCCCCCCTTTTCTCTCCCCCCCCCCCCTCTCCTCCCCAATCCTCTCTTTTTTCCTCTCCCTCCCTCTCTTCTTCCTCTCTCTCTTTTCCCCCCCTCTCTCTTCTCTCTCTTCCCCTCTCTTCTCTCTCTCTCCCCTCTTATCCCCTCCTCTCTTCTTCCCCCCTCTTCTCTCTGTCTTATTCCTCTCTCGCTCTCTCCTCCCCCCCTCTCTTCTCTCTCTTCCCTCTATCTCCCCCCTCTCTTCTCTCTCTCTCTCTTCCACCTCTCTTTTCTTTCTCCATTTTCTCTCTCTCCCTCTCTCATCCTTTCTTCTCTCCCCCCCTCTCTCTTCTCTCTCTCTTCTGTCACTCTTTTCCCCTCTCTCTTCCCCCTCTCTTCTCGCTCTCTCCCCCCCATTCTCTCCCCCCCCTCTCTCTCTTACCCCCCTCTCTCTCTCTTCCACCCTCTTCTCTCTGTCTTATTTCCTCTCCCCCCCCCCCTCTTCTCTATGTCTTATTCCTCTCTTTCTCTTCCCCCTCTCTCTTCCCCCTCTCTCTCCCCCAGTCCTCTCTTTTCTCTCCCTCCCTCTCTTCTTCCTGTCTCTTCTCTCTTCCCCCCCTCTCTCTTCACTCTCTCTCTTCCCCCCTCTCTCTTCACTCCCCCCCTCTCTCTTTTCTCTCCCCCTCTCTTCTCTCCCCCCTCTCTCTTCTCTCTCTCCCTCCACATTGTACACAGATCTGACCCAACAATGTATCCTGCATTTACCTTATTTTTCGCTCCATAAGACGCACTTGTGGGGCTCAGTATTCCTGCTGCCGTTGTATGTTCACAGTCTCTGGCCATCTCCTGTACTATGTCCGCAGTCTCTGGTCATCTCCTGTACTATGTCCGCAGTCTCTGGTCATCTCCTGTACTATGTCCGCAGTCTCTGGTCATCTCCTGTAATATGTCCGCAGTCTCTGGTCATCTCCTGTACTATGTCCGCAGTCTCTGGTCATCATCTCCTGTACTATGTCCGCAGTCTCTGGTCATCTGGTCATTATCTTCTATACTATCCAAATTAAAAGGTATGCGCTAATAACAAACTTATACAAAAGTGTATGTCATCATCCAAAAAACATTAGTGTTTTAAATAAATTAGAGTGTCCAAACATAAATTAGTGTCCAAAAAAATATATATATCTTCAGTGACTTGAACCAATTGTGAGAAATCCACCACCAAAGGAGATTAAATGAACTCACCAGAGCTAATGGCTGGTCAGATTATAAACCAGCAACAGCGCTTGTGCTCTGGGAGCAATGAACCCGATGTCCAAATAGATATGGTGATGTTTCAGATACTTCCAGATAATAATCACAGCCAAACAACTTTGCAGTCCAAGCTCTTATAATGAACTTCTCCACTCTGTCTCATACCTCCATGAGAGCATGCAGTACACTCAGGGACAAAAAAGAGAACATAATGGTGCAATACGTTTTTTTCATTTATCTCTTTAATAAAAAAGGTATAAGGAAACTCACAAACAAGGTGTCCAACAGACACCAGCTTCAATCGCAAAAAAGGGTTGAGATACAGTTAACGCTCACCGCAGATCTCTCCCATACAGCACAGACCAGCAAGGCTCTCTAACATCCACATCAAATAGGCTACGCCCAACCGGTTTTGTCACACCGACGTCATCAAGGGGCCCCTTGATGACGTCGGTGTGACGAAACCGGTTGGGCGTAGCCTATTTGATGTGGATGTTAGAGAGCCTTGCTGGTCTGTGCTGTATGGGAGAGATCTGCGGTGAGCGTTAACTGTATCTCAACCCTTTTTTGCGATTGAAGCTGGTGTCTGTTGGACACCTTGTTTGTGAGTTTCCTTATACCTTTTTTATTAAAGAGATAAATGAAAAAAAACGTATTGCACCATTATGTTCTCTTTTTTGTCCCTGAGTGTACTGCATGCTCTCATGGAGGTATGAGACAGAGTGGAGAAGTTCATTATAAGAGCTTGGACTGCAAAGTTGTTTGGCTGTGAATATTATCTGGAAGTATCTGAAACATCACCATATCTATTTGGACATCGGGTTCATTGCTCCCAGAGCACAAGCGCTGTTGCTGGTTTATAATCTGACCAGCCATTAGCTCTGGTGAGTTCATTTAATCTCCTTTGGTGGTGGATTTCTCACAATTGGTTCAAGTCACTGAAGATATATATATTTTTTTGGACACTAATTTATGTTTGGACACTCTAATTTATTTAAAACACTAATGTTTTTTGGATGATGACATACACTTTTGTATAAGTTTGTTATTAGCGCATACCTTTTAATTTGGATTATTGTTGCCAAAATTTATTTTGGGTGGGATATGCTGCTGACACTTTGGTGTTTTTTTGTAAGTGGCGCTTTTTTCTTCTTTTTTAATTTGGTATCTTCTATACTATGCCCACAGTCTCTGGTCATCTCCTGTACTATGTCCGCAGTCTCTCGTCATCTCCTTTACTATCTCCGCAGTCTCTGGTCATCTCCTGTAGAACATCCGCAGTCTCTGGTCATTTCCTGTACTATGCCTGCAGTCCATTGGTTCAGAGTATTTTTTTCTTGTTTTCCTCCTCTAAAACCTACAGTGAAGGAAATACGTATTTGATCCCCTGCTGATTTTAAATGTTTGCCCACTCACAAAGAAATGATCAGTCTAAAAATCGAATGGTATGTGTATTGTAACACTGAGAGACAGAATAGCAACAACAAATTCAATAGAAATGCATGTCTAACAAATTATGCACTGATTTGCTTCATATGGGAAATAAGTATTTGATCCCCTTCACAAAACATGACTTAGTACTTGTTGGCAAATCCCTTGTTGGCAATCACAGAGGTCAGATGTTTCCTGTTGTTGACCACCAGGTTTGCATACATCTCAGGAGGGTTTTGGCCCACCCTTCTTGGCAGATTCTCTCCAAGTCTCCAAGTTTTGGTTACTGACGTTTGGCAACTCAAACTTTCAACTCTCTCCACAGATTTTCAATCAGATTAAGGACTGGAGACTGGCTAGGCCACTCCAGGACATTAATGTGCTTCTTCTTGAGCCACTCTTTTACGGCCTTGGCCGTGTGTTTTGGGTCATTGTCATGCCAGAACACCCATCCACAATCCATTTTCAATGCCCTGGCTTTGGGAAGAAGGTTCTCATTTGATGGTACATTGCCCCGTCCATCGTCCCTTTGATGCGGTGCAGTTGTCCTGTCCCCTTAGCAGAAAAAACACCCCCAAAGCAGAATGTTTCCACCACCATGTTTGACATGGGTGTTCTTGGGGTCATAGGCAGCATTCCTCCTCCTCAAAACATGGCAAGTTGAGTTGATGCCATGGAGCTCGAATTTGGTCTCATCTGACCACAACACTTTCAACCAGTCCTCCTCTGCATCATTCAGATGTTCAGTGGCAAACTTCAGATGGGCCTGAACATGTGCTTTCTTGAGCAGAGGGACCTTGCGGGCACTGCAAGATTTAAATCCTTGACGGCGTAGTGTGTTACCAATTGTTTTCTTGGTGACTGTAGTCCCAGCTGCCTGGAGATCATTGACAAGATCCTCACGTGTAGTTCTGGGATGATTCCTCACTGTTCTCATGATCATTGACACTCCATGAGGTGAAATCTTGCACGGTCACCAGACCTAAGGAGACTGACAGTTGTTTTGTGTTTCTTCCATTTGCGAATGATTGCACCAACTTTTGTCACCTTTTCACCAAGCTACTTGGCGATAGTTTGGTAGCCCAGTCCAGCCTTGTGTAGATCTACAATCTTGTCCCTGACATCCTTGGACAGCTGTTTGGTCTTTTCCATGGTGGAGAGTTTGGAATCTGATTGTTTGATTGCTCCTGTGGACAGGTGTCTTTTATACAGGTAACAAAATGAGATTTGCAGCACTCCCTTTAAGAGACTGCTTCTAATCTCAGCTTGTTACCTGTATGAAAGATACCTGTTAGCCAGAAAGCCTGCTGAATGATAGGGGATCAAATACTTATTTCCCTCATGAACATGCAAATCAGTCCATAATTTGTTAGACATGCATTTCTTCTGAATTGTTGTTGCTAGTCTGTCTCTCTGTGTTACAATACACCTACCGTTTCGATTTTTAGACAGATCATTTCTTAGTGAGTGGGCAAACATTCAAAATCAACAGGGGATCAAATACTTATTTCCTTCACTGTAGGTGTGTCTTATGGTCAGGTGCGTCTTATGGAGTGAAAAATAGGGTAACCACTTCCCGTCCGCTGTACATTTATGAACGTCCTCAGAAGGGAAAGGGTGATATCTCTGTCATCGTTGCAACTGCAGCAATGATCAAGTTAACATTCTCTAGCCCCCCACGATTTTGCACAAGATAAAAGTAATCTGGGGGCTAAAAAGCCGCTGGATTACTTTTACAGGCGGCATAAGGGCGTCCCTCGCCCTCCTGCCACCGATGCCTTTACCGGGCTCTCCCATGCAGTTGGGAAGCCCGGTAAGGATGTGACCAGCAGCATCCAGCTCTAGGCAGACAGCGAGAGGAACAGATATTTTCCGCACACTGTGTGATGTCAAGAACAGGAAGCAACAAGGATTTCGTCACTCCCTGTCTTTGCTCTTTGTTTATTTGGCCGTTAGCAGCCAGTGAAGCAACCGATCAGACTGATCTGTGTCTGATCGTATGCATTGGGAGGCCAGAGGAGAGATTTGGGGTCTAATAACCCCTGATCTCTCATAAAAAGGACCTTTCATGGCCCATGCTATCACAAGGGATGTTGTTCATCCCTTATAATAGAAATAAAGGTACAGTTTAAAAATAAATAAAGAAATAAAGAAATAATAAAATAGCAAAAAAAAAATGTAAAGCACCCCTGTTCCCCCATGCTCACAAGCAACACGCACATAGGTCCCTCACGCATATGTAAATGGAGATCGCACCACACATGTGAGGTACTGTCAAGAATGTCAGACTGAGAATAAAAATTCTAGCACCAGGCCTGCTTTGTAACTCTAAACTGGTAACTTGTAAAGGCTTTTAAATGTTGCCTATGGAGATTTTAGGTTCCATAATTTGGCACCAAATGGTATACCGTGGCTGGCGTGGGACAAATTCAGATGGTGGGGGGGTGACCAATTTTAGTCTTGCTGGGGGAAGGGAGGGGCACCCAATTTTAGTCTTGCCTAGGGCAGCACAAAACCAAAATACATCACTGGGTCCAGTGGCCGTATTAGATAAGGGGAAATTGCTGTCTTTTGGCTGCTGCGTGGATGGGTGGTATTTTTGTGCTCATTTCCACCCTCCCACAGCATTTAAAAATTAAATTGTGGATCACTGGGGCCTTCGTCAGATCTAGTTGCTTCACCAGTCAACACCAAGCTGCCTGGGTTTAACACCTTCCCGATCACATTAGGGCTCTATCTTACCCCCAGAACTGCATGTGGCCTACACCTTCCCTTCCCCAACACTTATCTTGAAGTTTCTCTCGAGACACATGACAGAGACCGTAATAGTCATAGCATTTCTACCTTATTTGCCAAGAATGCCATGTTTCCCTCTGGCAATGCACCTCGATACCAGCCCACTAACTCGATACTGACTCGATACCTGCCCATTGATTCAATTCCTCTTTTTCCTCGCCTTCTACAGTGCCTTGAAAAAGTATTCATACCCTTTGAAATTTTCCACATTTTATCGTGTTACAACCAAAAACTTATATTTACTTTATTGGGATTTTAAGTGATAGACAACACAAAGTGGCATATAATTGTGAAGTGGAAGGAAATGATAAATGGTTTTCAACATTTTTTACAAATAAATATTTGAAAAGTGTGACGTGCATTTGTATTCAGCCCCCTTTACTTTGATACCCCTAACTAAAATCTGCTGGAACCAATTGCCTTCAGAAGTCACCTACCTAGTAAATAGAGTCCACCTGTGTGTAATTAAATCTCAGTATAAATTCAGTTGTTCTGTGAAGCCTTCAGAGGTTTGTTAGAGAACATATGTGAACAAAGAGACTCATGAACGACAAGA